TCTTTCATATATTTTCCCTCGCCGTGTGCACTTCATCCTTCATTCGTCCCTTTGGTTAAGTTTTGCAGAATATGAGATGGTTGTCACATACAGGGTGCCAACAGAGTGACAGGCAGCAGCACTCTTTGAAGCATCTGCATACATATGTTAATGTCACGTGTGTGGGTGTGTGACTATAGACAGAGTATGGACTGGTGAATTGATTTATTGACCACTTATACACCTGACTTGGAACTCTAAGCACTTACGCTATTGCTGATTTCCACAATAGAAATCACTACACTAAATCTTCTCAGTCTGCTTTCACTGGTCATTCATTTCCTGGTAACAGATCTTAACAATGGAGACCCTTCAGCTTCTGTGGTAATGCCGTTGTCCGCTGGCTAACACTCCAGGACAGGACTATCAACTAAATTATAGCACCATATCTTCTCAGCCTCCTTTGCAGAAATGAACTCTCAATTGACTGGGTCACCCCAGTTGTCTTCCTTATAACTCCTTTGCATGGACTGAGTAGAAAACACCGTTTCCAACAGTAACTTTATTCTTGCATGCATATTCATTGCTGCAGGAATGTGTTCATTGGTCCGATGCATAACACCGTTGTTTATTCACCTCTCATGGTCGTTGCATAGCAACAGCTGTATATGCTGCATTAACAGAGTACCTGTTTCAGCTCTCTACTGTTACAGAGGGCACTGAAAGTGTCCTCCATTGACCTCCTGGGAATGTTGAGCTGAAACAGTGGTGCTGCACATAACAACATACCTCACTCATGTGACTTCAGGATCTCACCGTATATTTGTGCAGACCTGCTTCTGGCCATTACTTTAGGTGCATGAATTATAAGTAATCTGTCCCTGTTATTTGGTGTGTCATCCTCATCCCAGGACACACATCAGAATGAATCATTCCGTTGCTTTAGACCCAGATCTCGTTCTCATTTTGGCCGAGCAGTCTCATTTGAACTGGTTTTTGCACTAAATAACTGGTGGTGCATACAGTAACATCAGTTATCAATTGCTTAGTTGTTCGAAGACGGAGGGGGCATGAACTTCCGGTATGCTCTGGATTGATTGTAAAATATGTGACTGTTCTTGAGTTCATGTAAGTTAATAAATTTGTCTGTAAGCCATTTGATATTACGAACAGTCCAAAGCAAGATTGATCAAAAAGACAATAGAGATATGCCTTTGTTGTTCAAACTGAATTAGTAACGAAAGTTGATCTGTTGTAGTTTCTTTATTCTGATAAAGAGAATTGTATGTGTTTGTATCTTGTTGTTTTTTCTGTCACTGATCCACATCCTACCCAACTGAGGCAAAATATATCCAGTAATGAGTTCCAGAGTGCATGTGTTTTGTATTTTATTGTTTTCTTATATCACTGCTGATGAATTACAAGTCTTAAAACTGTTCAGGAAAATATTTGGACCTCGGAAGGACAAAGTAAGCCAGAAATTTATGATACACCCAAAGTACTCTCATCTGGGATATAAAGCCATGCAGTCTGTCGTAAGTCAACCAACGTTTTTTTAGGAACATATCGCCTCCATCTTCAGGGTCAAAGAATAAGTCAAGCAAGAAACCAGCGTGAAAGTAGGTGGGAAGCAAGTTCTTTCAACAGGCTACATGGCATTATATCCCAGAAGATAGAACTCTTCATAACCGTCAGTGTGAGAACCTCAAATCCTACATTATACACATGTATAGAGGTCTTGTGATTGATACTGGTTACATGGTACTGTCTGAGCAGTGAAATGTAGGGTGCCATGAGGGACTGGGCTCCATATCTCAGTTCAGAGAGAGATGAGGAACACAACACAGAATTATAGTGAGCAATTATCTTGACAAATGACTATTTTGAAGGATCATTAAAGTCAAGATAAAGTAACTGTGACTTTCTTGGGTCACATGTTACAGGTAGTAATGACGCCATACTCTATGAGGTAGTTCAAACTACGGCTGTGTCTTTGGTGGGGACGCATCCTTGGGACATCTCGTGGTCCCGCTGGGCAACGACAGTCTCGGGATCTGGACTAGTATGACTAGCTGGGACTGGTGGCTAAGTTCCCATAAAGGGCAATGACATCATGACCAGAGCCTCCCACGTGGCGGCATAATGGCTCTTGGGTATCACTACGGTCTACCCGGGACGAATGCAGGAGAGCACTCATATGGGGGTAGCTTCAGCTACTCGAGTTGTCTCCTTAGAGTACCGATAAGGTGCCGCAAGCCTTCGGGCTCAACACTCTAAAACGGTCTGACCAACCCGTGTGGAAGGGTGGGAATGTGGGGAGCTTTTATGCCAGCCCAGGGTGACTGCTTCATGCAGGTTTCCCTGCTCGCAACCTCATGATTAGCTGGTGTCACACTCCCATTGATCATCTGTGATCCCCCCCACCAATCGAGCACTCTTGGTCCTGGAGGCTTATGAGGGTTTATCCTTAACAGGACCGAACCACCTACGCCAAGGTGTGATGCATCATGCTGAGGGCTGCATGGTACTGGAGTGGTTATAAGCTGGTGTTGTGAATGATCCCCTTGGGGCACCAGGCAGCACCCCGTTGTATTCATGCCTTCCACTCATATGGGGCATTGCAGGTGGTGACCTTCTATATCCCCATGACTCATGGGACCAAAATGAAAGGTACCAAAATAAAAACCAGTCGTATGGACCTTAAACAGAAGAGGGACTCCCCTCCAAAGGGATCCCTATGAGAAAAACCTGGGGACTGAAACCAAAGCTGGCATATTGGATATACTCGTACACTGCTGTAGTAAGACCCATAATTGCCTATGCTGACACTATATGGTGGCCTAGAGTTAAACTTAAAACAAGTCAGGCTGAACTAAGCAAATTGTAAAGGACTCCTGCTTGGGAATTACGGGAGAAATGAGAACAGCTCCAACAGCTGCAATGGAAATCCTACTAGGACTCCTCCCACTGTATCTGCAGATGGAAGCAGAGGCCAAGTTAGGAAATTACAGATTACATTGCAATGATCAATGAAGACCTAAATCCAATGGATTTGGACAACGCATACATGATTCAGGACATGAAAAAGGAACCCAGCCTACAGATGGGATCTGATAAAATGATACCAAAACATGTCTATGATAAATCCTTCACGATCGGATTTCCTGACAGAAGTGAATGGAAAGAGGGGTTTCAGCCCGATAAAAAAGGGAGACTAATCTGGTATACAGATAGTTCCAAGACAAATAAAGGCACTGGAGCTGGAGTGTACTGTGATGGAACAGGGCGGAAATGTAGTTTCAGCCTTGGTCAGTATACAACAGTATTCCCAGCAGAAGTGTATGCCATTAAGGCATGCACAATTGAGAATTTAGATAGAAACTATAAAAATAGGAATATCTATATTCTATCAGATAGTCAAGCTGCAATCAAAGCACTTGGTACACACCAAATCACTTCAAAATTGGTTTGGACACAACTGGCCAAACTTAACAGAGTTCAGCTGATATGGGTGCCAGACCATGAGAGTATTGCTGGGAATGAAACCACAGCTCAACTGGCAGGAACACGACATGCGCCAGCTTACGGCATCTCAGTAGGAGAGTACTGCTGGGAATGAAACCGCAGATCAGCTGGCAAGAACAGGATCTGAACAGCTGTTCACAGGGCCTGAACCTGCTTGCGGCATCTCAGTAGGAGAGTATTGCTGGGAATGAAACTGCAGATCAGCTGGCAAGAACAGGATCTGAACAGCCATTCACAGGACCTGAACCAGCTTGCGGCATCTCAGTAGGAGAGTATTGCTGGGAATGAAACTGCAGATCAGCTGGCAAGAACAGGATCTGAACAGCCGTTCATTGGACCTGAACCAGCTTGCAGAATCTCAGCAGGAGTATTGCTGGGAATGAAACCGCAGATCAGCGGGCAAGAACAGGATCTCAACAGCTGTTCACGGGGCCTGAACCAGCTTGCGGCATCTCAGTAGGAGAGTATTGCTGGGAACGAAACCGCAGATCAGCTGGCAAGAACATGATCTGAACAGCCGTTCATAGGACCTGAACAGCCTGCGGCATCTCAATTGGAGTTGCCAAAAAAGTGATCAGGGACTGGACTAATAGAAATCACAAAAACACTGGGAATCCACAACTGGACTCAAACAGGCAAAAGGATTTATATCAGGAGCCTCTGCCAAAAGAGCGAGGGACCTGTTAAAATTATACAGAGATCAATTAAGATGGGTGGTAGAGTTACTTACTGGACACTGCCACTTAAAAGGGCACCTTTTCAAACTGGGACTGACAGACAACCCAAACTGTGAAAGGTGCCTACGAGAAGATGAATCAGCCACACACATCTTATGTGATTGTGAGGCTATAGCTTACCTAAGATATCATCACCTGGGCCAATTTTTCATGGAACCAAGTGACTTTTATGACGCCCCCATAAATAAAGTCCTACATTTCATTCAAAGTGTGGGATTAATAAAGCGTTAATCCAAAGGGGAAGCACAATAATCACTGAGGGTTGCAGCGCAAGGGCCAGTTTCTATGGCTCACCCCTCATACTCATGCCCTTTAATATCTCAAGGCACGGGCTCTTAAATGCAGACATTTCATACAGAATGTAGCTACTGTTACCCACTCCACGTCTGCCTAGAACTCTCTGTAAACTTCCGTGTTGTGCTGCCTATTTCCTTATGTTGCTACTTACTGTATAGAGATGTATTCTTGTATTTGAGGTTCGCATAGCAGTTACCATGAAGAGATCTATCATCTGGCATGTGACTCTGTGTAGTCTGGTAGAAAGAAGTTCACTAATGCTTTGGAGGAACATAGTACTTAATCTTCAGAGTGCAAGAGGACACCATGCCACCCTTGGTTTACTCTCTGACCTTAAAAAGATGGGAGCAGTGTATTTATCTGAAGCATCACTGAACTTGTACTGTCTACAGGGCATCACATGTTATGTATCTATTTAGAAGGAATCACAGTCCATATTGGATTCTACCATAGATCATACACTGGAAATTAACAAACTATTTTATTTTACTTAATAAGATAACACGTGGAATGTCAAATATGTCAGGAATGGAGGACGGTTTGTAAACTCTGGAGGATACAACTGACAATCAGATAATAGTTTTTGGATGTTTGATAGAAACTAGTTCAGAGTAACCACTACAAAATACTGATAAAATGCCAGGCTCAACTATTCAAAGGTTTATCATGCTCTTCTTCCATTCAACAGACTGGTTTAGTGGCAGAACTCGTAGACTTGCATCTCAGAAGTGCTTGGTTTGAATCTCAGCAGACACACTTGCTATCCTTACAGGTTTCTATGGTTCTCTTCAGTCCCTTCAGGCAGGTTCCGAGATAGTACATCCATCAGTTATGCTGTGACAACTTCCTGTTTCCAGTTCATTATCCTGCCATCCAGTGCTGTATAGTCACACTGAAAGTGTCACATAATATGAACCACACAAGAAAGAATGGTTACACACACGGTACGGTGGCAACATCAAGGATGGTAAGGAAGTGAAGGTAAATCTGTATACAGAATTCTGTATGTTTACTGTAACTGAGTGAACTGAAACACCTGCAGAAGTGTGCACTATTCATTTGGAAGGTAATATCGCCACAGTGTTGGGAAAATACATTTTCCTGTCAGAAGTACAGATGCCACAGGGTCTCAATACTGACAGTGTCGTAAAGTACTCTTCATTTACCACAGAACTGAAAAATTAAAATGGTGAGTAATATGAATGTTTGCAGATAGCATATCTTAGACTCAGCCTCTGGCAAGGGCATAAGAACAGTTCTTCACCTCTCAAAGCCACCCGTTCACATGCCCCTACTGCATGGCCCTGATGAGATGCTTGGGTCACAGAGATAATTAATTAACTCATTAACTTTATGCACATTGCTCAAGTAACATATAAAAAGTACTTTAAATATCCTTATATTTCAATGTCAACACCTTTCATACCAACATTCATCCTTTTGCCAGCCATTAGTTTAAAATATATAACATCACTGCAATTATGTGTTTTGTTGTGCTGAGACGGTAGCAGACTTCTCCCTCTTCCAGATGATTACAAGACCTTGATAATCACCAGTAGCGAGAAGTGATTCATCATAGTTGAAGCTTACACCAAGCACTGGGCAGGCGTGCCCCTGAAGCTTGTTGAGGCATGGCTTCTCCTGACGCTCTATGTCCAAGAAGTACACACATGAGTCCTCACTTCCTGTAACTTAAAGAGACACAAGGTACCTTTAGTCCATATTTTTCATTCCATAGGGAAATGTATCTTATTTAAAATGTGACAGCTATAGTCGGCACATTGAGTGCCAATCCCGTCACTTGACGGACTGAAATTTACACATGCCATAGCTGATCCCATCAAGTGACGGGCTGTTGGTGCTGTGTATTATGCAAATGTCATTCTCTCCTACAGCCGTCACTCAAATATTCCCATTTTAAATGCAGGAAGTTCAAAATAAGTTCTGGTAGAAAAACAGCTGACTTGGCAGCTAAAATCTCAGTGCAGGGGCATGGTATTGAAAGTGCTAAATGTCGGTAAGCTTACAAATCGTATATAAAGCATATGGCAGCGCTGGAAATATCTCAGGATACATTTCACAGATTTAATGTAGAGATCATTGTCCTCTGAATGTGACGCTGTATAGTCTCATAGATGTTTACTGATGTGTCAGAGAAATGTACTACTTCTATCTTCAGAGTAGCAGAGATACCCTGAAGATGGAAGCAGCAGGTTCCTCAGAATGTTGGTAACTGAATACTAAATTACATTGCATCACACTGCTGAAAGCAATGATCTCCACAGTCATGACATGAGATCCTCAACTCTCACACTGTATCAGTGGAGTCATGTACCAAAATGGATCACTATAGTTTGTGCTGACCTGACAAAAGTCCAACATTGTTAAGTTCTTACCCACACAGGCTCCTTGCCGGAAGGACATGATCGGGCAAAATGTTGAACGAACAAGGTAGCTTTTATGATGAATTGGAAAATTTCGCTTTAACTGAAGACTTCCCTCCTTATCCATGACCCTGTAAAAATAAAAAGAAAAGACAGGTACAGTGTTTTGTCATTGCAACATGTGGGACATGCATATGCCGTTGTCTCTATGTTAGTAAAGAGGAGTACTCCTTGTGAGGACAACTGCTGGAGCAGGGGATGAGATCAGACATACTTGTCAGTAGAATCTCTTGGAAATAGCCATGCACAGAATAGAGATCTTCTACACTGTGTGGTTATAACCAGAGTTAGCTGAGAGGACCTCAGTCAGGATGGCTCTGGCAAGCAAGCATGATCAGGGGTGCACAATGGACCTGATAGCGGTCCAAGTGCTTCAGGTAACTAAGGTTGTCCATCCCATGTCAGTACAAAACAAACGAGTACATGCTCATACAGGAAGGCATCATCAGATAAGTGGACCAGAGAACTTTTTATGTACTGATGTGAAAGACCAAAGCATACCTGAACAGACACACAACATTAGCAGCACAGTTGACTAAGAGGGTTGGGTCTCTCGCCTCCCGGCTGATCCATGCTCGCCATGAGATGCAGGTAATGGGACAGTTCTCAGCTACGGTCAACCGGCGCAATTTGCTTAGCCTTCCCGTCTCCAAATCAAACAGGAATGATACGATTGTACCCTGTGATAGAAATCAAGGTACAATGTGTGAATTGTGAGCAACATAAAAGTGGCCTCGAAAAACATGAAAAGAAATTATTTGGGTACATTCCCAATCTAAAACTTTGTTCAATGCATAAGCATATATGGACCAACTCCATTTTGACTGAACAGGTGTGAAATTTATTTCTGGTATCTCTGAAATATAGTGTATCGAAAAAATCAGTACCCATCCATAGTGGGCACAATGAAGTACAAGTTTATGTTTTTGAACAGCGTCTCATTCAGTGCTTCACTATCGTACATGGTCCCTTTTGTGCAGTGGATTTTCTGTTTTACAGGAACTGAATAGAATAGAATAGATTAATATTCTGTCTGGTATCAACGGTCTGAACCTCAGTAAATAAGTGTATGTTATTTACAGTATATTGCATCAAAGAATATATGTGAGCACAGGGAAAAGATTTTCATTTCCTTAAAAGAATCCCTATATGTATCTCTTTTCTTTAAGCCCATCATGATCCTTATAACTTTCTTTTGAATCCCAATAGTTTTATGGTAAAGGAACTTTGGTAAGACAGGTGTCCTGAAAAGGGCAGGGTGCATGGACCTAATGGCATGGTTGACAACCCAATCATGAACAAACCTATAAAGGGGGCTTCCTAAATGCTTTCAAGGAGAAGTTAAGAGGTTTCTGTGATATGCTTGTGTAGAAGCCATGATCCCACTTCATGTTGGGATGGAGCTCAATCTCAATCATACCTATTTTCAGTTAGAAATAAAATTAAGTTCCCAATATAGTGCATTTGTTATGTCACGCATATCTCCATTCCACTACAGCTTCCTCTGCTTCAAGCAGAAGGCCCGTGGCCTATTCACAGGTCCTGCACTGACAGGGAGTTCTTCGTCTCTCATGAATTACACAAGTGAATGAAATCAGACCCACCTTGTTGTTCCCTGCCCAGAGCAACTGACCGCTGGCATCGCATGCAAGTGCAAGGACCATACCCTCCAACTTGCTGCTACCACCTCGAGGGTAGATGCCCGTTGACACATTCAGCACCTGAACCATTCCTCTCGAGTTTCCTGCCTATTGCTTCGTCAAGGTGTCTATACTGTACCATGCTGCACCACATACACATCGACATACAGACAGACAAGACGGATGAACATTTCCGTCTTCTCAGATGTGATCCTGGCACGTTCAGTGTTAAGACTATCTAGATTCAGATGATGGGATAACTGATGAATTGGAACAAAGGAGTCGTGGCCAGGACCAAGGAGAGCCATGAGAATCCTCAGTTAGGACAACCATTGTCCTTGCCAAGATTTTAATCAAGCATCTACCAAACACCAAATCCAGAGTATTGCTTCTAGACCAACCTACTCACTGAACTGGGAAGGTTGTGCAAGGAAGGAGTTATGACCTAATCATGGGAGTAACCCAGTATTTGTCAAGAGGAACTGAGTAAAACCATGGAAAGACTCAGTCAGGATAGCCAGTGTTCCAGTAGAGATTTGAGCTGAGCACCTCCCAAATCCAAGTCTAGTGTTTATATCATACTAATCTGTTCACTGTAATGCTGTGTAGTCTGCCTGATGGGTACTGATATTTTGGAGGAAGCTACTGCCTCCATCATCAAGGTAGAAGAAGATGAAGCTAAGTGTGGGAAAAATGGTATACACACAAGCATACAGAGATATACTGGTATATTTCCCTGGGGTACTGTGGCTGGAATGTGAAGCAGACCTGTACTTCCACTTACCTACACTCCTCATGGTACTTACAACTGTTAACTGCTCATTCAACCTCTTAAATTTGGACTTCATCCAACTGTTATATTGGTATCTATGTGAAGGATACGATCACCATGTTGTTATTGCCAGGTTGAAATAGGCAAGACAGCATTTCTGCACCCATCTGATCCTTGACAACACGTAAACACTTCTTACTTGTGACATCCCAAAGACACAGCGTTGAGTCCTGAGAGCAGCTTACCACCAAGTCGTTCGACACAGACCAGTCGCAACCTGCACACAGGGTTGTAAGACTGACGGTTGCTTCGCAGATGCATAGAACAACTGCCTATAAACCAACTTCCCAACTCTAACTGGCAAAGTGCTAGGCCAGAGATGAAGCTTCCAACCTAGAGACTGAGGATGTGATAATGTGCTGCCTGCTCAGTGCTTGGCATGCCTCAGCTTGTTCTGTAGGTGCAAATACTCCATATTTACCCAGACATTGCAATAAGAGGCTGAGTCCATATTTGCACACAGGGATATACTCCGCTATAAAAATATGTGGCTCGATGTCATCAGGGATGGAAGTTAGGGGAGATGACATACTGGAAAAATGGTACAGTTGCTGTCCAAGCTAATGACAGTAGAGAACCAATAATACACACAATGGCTCACTTCATAGTGACTATTGTGGGCACTTTGGATCCAACAATGCTAATATTATTTGTTTAACTGTGAAGCTTATGTGCTAGTTGGTCATTATTCAGAGTTATCTCACCAGTGACACCTTTCTTGTGTCCTTTGAAAACAACCTCCACATGCGGAGGATTTGCTGTCACATTACAGATGGACACCGTACCATCAAATGAAGCACAGCAGAGACGAGAACGATCATTGTTAGCAAACTTCAACATCGTAACACCAGCTGAGTGCTGAAATAGAAATGTATATCTTTAGTTTTACAGTATATTTATAGTTAGAGGGTTCATCATGTGAAAAGACTGGATAGAACAAGGATACTAAGAAGGCCATTAGGATTAAAATTTAAAGGAAAGAAACTATGCTATGATCTAGAACAAGATGGTTCAGCCTAGTACTGGAAGATATCAGGAAGAAAGGAATAAGCTGACAAGAAAGTAGAAAGAATGAAGAGATTAGACTCTCCATTCATTGATCCATATAAAATAAAAACTATGCAAAGAAATAAAGTAGCAGTAGTCCATTCATATAATAAACTACAGTCTGTGGTGATTAAACTGAGCGTTCTTACTTGATCAAATATGTGATGCACACCAACAAATGCATAATTTTCTGCTATTGTTGTGCCACCCACAATTGCACGTGAAGCCTCAGCTTGTTTTGTTGGCACAAGTGCTCCATGTTCACTCACAAAATTATTTTCTGAAGGAAATCGGGAGATCTCTGGTGATTCACTAATCTGCAATCATGGAAACTGCCTGTGATGATGTGGTCACAATGAGCATTAAGAATACAATGAAGTATATACTATAACCTGCTACAGCTCACAAGAGAGGGCACCTGACCATCCGAGCACTATGGCCAGTAAGTATTTTGCAGCCACAACAGTAATCACACCAGCAACCCCCCTACCCTGAAGACACTCCTATAGGTCCTATAGGTCCGAGTCCTTGTGATAGTCACTGGTGTTCAACAGTCTTTGAGGTGACAGCAACCTGGTTCTGAAGACTACTGACCCTGTTTTTTATTTATGAATTATTGAATGATGCCTTTACAACCCCAGAGTATTTAGAATTAAATTGTAGTGTGATTTTGAATTGTTTCATTTTTGGTCCGTTACACTATCAATCACAAAGTCAATAGAAGTCCGTCGAGTGTAACAATTTGTAGGTCACTTCTTTATCACTTCTGCCTTACATGTTTCGGTTTAACACAACCATCATCAAAGGCACATAGTACAATCATGAAAACACTGTCGTTGTTTGAGATGTACACAGTTATGTTTGCTGCGTAGACGCTGCTACAATATGTTGACGTGTAAAAGCACAACACTTGCTAGGATTGTTGAATGTGGCAGTACACAACACACAGCACATAGGAAACATCTAACCATAAGCCATACAACCTTAAGCTGACATCTCCCATCTTCGGGATGAATTAACAAGGAGGAGCTCAACATTTTACATCAAATGTTTTAAATTTTTTAAATATTTTAACATTGGCGTTTTAACTTGAGGGCAGTTTCGGATGGAATGTGAGAATTGATAGTGCATTCAACAATCCTAGCAAGTGTTGTGCTTTTACACGTCAACATATTGTAGCAGCGTCTACGCAGCAAACATAACTGTGTACATCTCAAATAACGACAGTGTTTTCATGATTGTACTATGTGCCTCTGATGATGGTTGTGTTAAACCAAAACATGTAAGGCAGAAGTGATAAAGAAGTGACCTACAAATTGTTACACTCGACGGACTTCTATTGACTTTGTAGTGTGATACTGAATAATGAACTGGAAAGGACGTGGAAGGAAACAGTAATATTCCAAATTTGCCTGGGGACAGTGAATAAAACCACTAACTTCTTGGTCAGGACAGTATGTGTCCTGGCCAAGATTTGAACCAGGTATCTTCAGAACACAAGTCAGAAGCATTACTGCTTGAGCCAATTTTCTTGATTCCATGGTATCATGAATTGGCAGACCATGGTCTTAAGTACGCTATGCCGATAACCTCAAAACTATGAATAGAATACCGAAATGTTGAATCTCGATGACAGGCGACCTACCCTGCTGCTGCTTCTCACGCTGATGCTGCGACTGTGGATGCTGCTCTGATCACATGACACACCGTATCGCTGCTGCAGAAGCTGACTTCGTATTTTGAGGTATTGCTTCCGGATCGGCGACTCCTGTTTGAACAAGTACACTGCTCTGCTGTGTATTAACATAAATTTTGCTTTTTCATAACAATTTGGCTGGTCCACATGAAGCATCACAGGACTTCGCCTGGCATGACATTATTTAATTTCCTGTCATACTCTTCTGCTAGCTCAAGTGAAATTCCCCTATTTGTCAATGGTTAGTTGCTGGCTTTCCACCGCAGAGGCCCGGGTTCGATCCCGGGTCTGGTCAAGTGGGATTTGTGGTGGACAAACTGGCACTGGGGCAGGTTTTCTCCAAGTACTTCTGTTTCCCCTACCAATCTTTATTCCACCAATTGCTCCACAGTCACCCTCACCTATCATCTGGGGCTGGTACAATAGGCCAGAAGTGGCCGCACTACAGGGACTTAGTCCCACCCCACTAGCAAAAAAAAAGGGGGGGTAAAGGTGCCCCTGTGACAAGTACAACACTATGAAAGGAGAAACAAGTGAATGTAATGTTCCATGCATTCCTAGCCTTGATACTGAGGCCAATGAAAGAAGTTCCACATACTGCCCTCCCTTCACAAGCACACAAACAACTTCAGCCAGCTGACAAAGGCTAGAGAGGGAGAAGTCTCAAGCACTGTAATCCCCTCCGTCCATAGGACTTCGTGGCCTCAGAGGTAAGCAGTCAGATTCACACTTGAGTTGATTTAACCCCAGAGAAGGATCCTCGGCTGTGGATACAGTGGTGGAAAGCAGAATCCTCTCCCTCTAACTGGGATTTGAATCCTACTTGTTCAGTTTGTAGGCAGCTGCTCTACAGATTCAGCTGTAATACTAGTTCATGGACTGGGCTGAATGTGTGGCTTCAGCTATCAGGACTAGGCCACACTGTGGCAAACCCTTCAGTTGCCCTCAGCAGTGTGCGAGAGGTGAAGTTGTGGTCACTGAAACATCTTTCATCATTTCTGGAATATAATGCTGTGTACTCCAAGCACTGCTTGCTACTTGCTTCATGCTGATTTCTTGCTTGGCATATTCTTTGACCCTGAAAGTGGTGGCCAAATGTTCCTCTGAAACATCAGTTGACTTTCAGTACACTACACAGCATTATATCCCAGAAGAAATAACTCTCCACAACAACCACCTTAAGATCTTAAATCGTACACTTTTTGTTACCTCTTTTCGCTAACCACATGGACAGTCCCTCCTCTGTTCATCTTATCTCCAACACTGCCTGATGCATGAGCAACATGGGAGCTGCCAAAACCCCTCCCAAAGTGATTAACCTTAAAGATGGTAACCACCAAGTTTTCCAAAATGTTGCAAAAACTCTCAACACTTGATGCAGCCTAGTCCTGGAAGCTGAAGCAATATACTGCAATGTTAAGGCGTGTCCACATTACTCGTGCTCGTGCGACTCGCTATGCTCACGAGTAATGTGGGCGATATGACAAGTCATGAGACAAACAAATTTTAAATTTTTAATTTAAAAACTATAGCCAATAACTTAAAATACGACTACAGCCTATACACATTACGAGTAAATATACAGATCCCCACATGCCAAAGCCTGGTGAGCAACTGAAGTAGTGTGGACGAAGATTTACAAGCACAAGTAAAAGCCAGATGAGTCTCCTGACGAGCACGGGTAATGTGGACGCGCCTTTACTGTGTACAAAAACTGAATGCTCCCTGCTACACTTGAAAGCTCTAATTCACAGTGTATTATGGACATTTAAATTAAGTGCTGTCATAACATTAGAATACAGTGAATAATTTCATGGCAGATTGTTAGCTTATAGAATGTATAAACAAAACCTTCACAGTACCTCTCCTCTTGTGTATTCCCGCAACAACTGACATCTCCTTCGTATATACAATGTTCCTGTTGAACACAAGTCACATTAATGTTTCATTCACCATCAGTGTTTCAGTCTATCATTATTAATTACACTAGTGGCATGTCCATTAAAAATCAACAACAAGAATTTGACGTTTCCCATCTCCAGCCATGAATTTCACACATAACCTTTCCATATATCCACTCTTGCACGTATGGCCCTTGAGGGACACTGTGAAATGGATAGCTAGCCTTAAACAGGGTATGATGTGATACCAGTTCACATACTGTCTGCCGGTTCAACTTACTCTTCAACCCTGAAGATAGAGGCAGTCTGTTCTTCTGACATGTTGGACAACCCCTACCAGACTACATGGATTCACATCCCAGAAGAGAGTACTCTCCACATTCACTACTGTGAAACCTCAAATGTCATAGGATCAAGAGTGTTCTGAATGTATTGGCCCAGAAATGGTTTCCAAATAAAGTCATTTTACTGTGGAAGCCTCTAACCGTATATGAACCGGTCCTCATGCACATATTTATGTATTTATGGTTTATTTAATGATGATGTCAGTAGGTAAGACTGTATAATGTCGAATAGTGTGAGTAATGATTAATGATTGGACAGAATGTGCAAGGCAGCAGCATGGTGTAACTGAGGTTCTCCTGTGAAACTTGCTCAACGGGACTGAAGAAGACAAGAATTCTCAGTCAGAGTAACTTAAAAGAGATTTGGAGCTGTGAGGATAAATGCACCAACATTTCAGACACTTGCTTTGTCTCCACCATCAAGGCTGACGGAGGAAATGGCTCAACAGTGTGCTTGTATGTATATGAAATGGTTAATGCAATGCCTCTCCTTACTGGCACATGATGTGAGGGGAGAGTAGATCTGTTTTTGCATTACTAAACCTGCACAATCATGCTCCACTGGCCGACTAGCCTGTCTGTTGTTGCGTAACAATGTCGAGGCAGAAAAGTAATGTACTAAGCAAATTTCAGTCTCAGGGTTAAGTAGTAAAAGTGATGGAACGCTTGGATACATGTCAAAAGAGGTTACTGTATCCAAATGAGATCAGTGGGCGGTGATCATGTAAGGACATGTATGGTGGTTACAGCCTCTGCCAAGATAGTCATGATACACCCGGAGAGACTAGTGAAACCAGCAGGACTTTGCCTGAATATTGTGTAACACAGAAAAGATCTGGACTGTGTTACCTATGAATACAAGTCTACTGATGAAACTGGAGAGGCTGGAATAATTGAGAATCTCTATAGGCTTAAGTAACATTATCAGTATTTTAACAATGGTTTTATGGGCATATAGATATAAAGGTTAACAAACTGTGACAGGTTGTTTCTGTTTTGTTTAAGATAGTATATGAAATATAGTTCAAACGATATCATAACGCGGGCCATGGCAAAGTTAATGTAATGTTTTAAATCATCCAAGAGATGGCACATACGACAAACTCTGTTCTGCCACCTATTTATGTACAGTATAATTGCATACGTTTCTTCGAATTTCATACTGTTTTATAAATCTTGCTGACAAATTTTCTTTAACCATTCGGTGTCTAAGCTACAAAACATTTAAACACGTTTTATATGTTATTATCATTGAAATCCAAATCTTAATAGTTTGTAAAACAGCTCTATAATCAAGACAAGCTTTGCAATATGAAAACATTACTACTCACAACATTGACAATTCATTATAGTTTTGGGATATAAACTTTATTTCGGCAGTAGTATAATAATACATACTGAAATTTGGATGATTTGGTGCTCGATGAGCATTATATCTTGCATCAAGTGCAAACACCCGCTGCTGCCAGACAGCCCCCATACTTCATAATGCCATGAACAATAACAAAGTAGTTCAATTTATTAAATACATTAATAAATCTCGTTAACTAACTACATGTTATGTATTTATTTCGTACATGTTTACTTTATATACATTTATATTTTTCTGTAAAGCTTATCTTAATTTACTTGTTTAAAGTGTTTGTGAAGTGGCCTTGAGTTTGACTCTGGCTTTCCCCATATTTACCTCCCCGCCCATTGACGCTTATTTCCTGCAAGAATTAAGGTGGACGTGTCGTATTGTGAAAAATGCAAGCAATTAAATGTGTTGTGGTAGGAGATGGGTAAGTGAATATACAGTTATTTTATGTGTAAATACTTCGTTTAGATTATCTTACATAAATTATTGCTGAATTGTGTTCGCAGGCAGTTAATTTTTATCTCCAGATTCCTGGGATTGGTTGTATATTTGTGCATGAAGATAGTGGTTATAGGCATTTCTAGCTATGATATCTGTATTTTAGTACAGGAATAAAGTTAATGCCATTCCATCACGGATATATGATTGTAGATCGAGTCCGTAAATGTTGCATTTGCAGACGCGATGTGTATTAGAATGTTTTCGGTTTAATTTCTCTTTAGGTTAAGGGAATCAGTGCAAAGACAACAAAGTGACAATATATAATTATTAGTTGCCAGTGTAGTCTTTTATAAGTTCATTAACTTCTGCATATATTGCTGTCATCACCACATTTTATATTCCTATGTGACGTTTATCATTCAGAAATTGTACATTGGGTTGACTCATTAGTTCTGTTGGATATTTCGTTGACTTGCCTGTTTTGATGTATTATTACGGCTCTGGTGACTGTAACACAATTCATATTTCTGGATTACATAAAATTCCTGGCACATCTTCAGAATTCCCAGGTTCAGTCAATGTGATCAACATCTTGAAACATTGTTTATATTATAAAACGATTAATTCTAATTTTATAGTACAATTTCAAGGTTGTGTTATAGTTTGTACATTAATTAATGTCTGTTATTTTTAATTTTGAACATTTCTGTGGTGTTGGCGGGTGAGAGAGACCAAAAGTTGCAAACCCAGGAACCGAGTTTGCATATAATCTAACCGTGCAGAAATACTCTGCAACTTTTTGAGATAGATTAAGACACAAGTGTTACCACTGTGGAAAACTGTGATATATTGTGGGACCAACTTGGAAGTGTGTGAAGAATCACTCAAGAAGGAATAGGAACGAACTTAAATCAAGGAGCGTCTTTGCAGTTATGTAACTGTGAGTTTGAACCGTTTCTGCTCAGTGTCACGCCACAAAAATTTCACAGATTTTGTGTTTTATTTATGCTTATCAGTACCAGCACAAGATATAAATACACTGAAGTGGCCTAATTTAAATGAGATTCCTTCTGCCACGGCCCTGAGGATACCTGCCCTATACATACTTCTGACATTCCAAGTACCAAATCGCATATCCATTTTCTTTTGCTTAGGTCGTTTATCCAAGGGATCTGTCCATTTCTGAGGCTTCTTGTGGTTTTTCATAACAAACATATTTTTTATGTTGAGGAGCTGGTATCCCTATGCCCAACCCCCAAGCTGGAGGACCACTCTTTGTTGAAAGTCCGCGACTGCTTATTCAATATATTTGCAGCTTCCCTCCATATCTCAAGGCTGTCTCTATCCTGAGGATGCACCATGCCATGATGACAAGGGAGCTTCATAACTTGTACTCTTCTCCAAGTGTAATTAGAACGATAAAGTCAAGGAGGATGAGATGGGCAGAGCACATAGCATGAAGGGGAACAAAATGAATGCATATAGGATATTGGTGGGAAAGCCAGAAGGAAAGAGACCACAACGTCGTAGGTGCGTGGACAATATTAAAATGGATCTTAGAGAGATAGGATGGTATGGATTGGATTGATCTGGTTCAGGATAGGACCAGTGGGGGGCTCTTGTGTACACGGTAATGAACCTTCGGGTTCCATAAATTGCTAGAAGTTCTGGAGTAGCTGCACAGTTGGTGGCTTCTCAAGAAAGGCTCGGGTCCATGAATGAATGAATGTCCTTATTTAACTTGTTGATATCTGCCACTGAGTATGGTTCTGCAAAAGTAGTATAATATGCATGAGTAGAAAACAGGTTTAACGTTATTAGTACATGTGCAGGAATCTATACAGATGAAACATTAGGCAGCCTCCTGTAGGCAACTGTAGTCAGCATATTGTGAGCATGATTATACCATGCATAATTGATGAGTGTAATGCATGTAGTTTAGAGAACCTGATGTTCTGGAGGAACATCTTCCATCTTACAGATGGAAATGGAAGACAAGCAAGAATGGTATGTCAAGGAAGAATTATTGAAAAGTGGTAGAGCCTAGTAGGAAAATCCATTTAAATTCCTGACCAAGAAGGAAATGGCTTGATGCTCAGCTATTGAACCTCCCTTCCTTCCTGCTGTTACCGCAACAGCTACCAACAGTGTCCAGCATTCGTTTGTAGTACAGCATGTGATTCTGATAATTTTTATTTACAATAATACGATTTTATTATTTTAACAAAAGGGATATTCTTCTTCTTCCAGTATTACTTTGTTTCATGCAGGTCAACATACCCTCGTCCTTCACACAGTCTTTCATTATGGATTTTTGCAGTACCAAATAATTGTAATTGTTTCTCTTTCAACCTTGTTATCAAATTTGAATCCAGACTCCATCTTCAAGGATTTTATTTCTAATTCTAACCTTTATAATAAGGAAATATGCTGAATTTGTCTTGAGGTCCGGTGTTAGAGCTCCACTGCCTGAGCAGGTTA